AATCAGGGAGTTCAAAGCTTCCGAGCGGTCTTTATAGGATCTCACCACAGCCATGAATCTGCAGCCTGCAATGTGCAGCATCAGAGCCCACTGGAGGATCGGCTGAAATACCCGAGATGAGTCGCAGGCTCGTCAAGTATCTCTCCGTATAAATCGAAGCCAAGCGGCCGACAGCTGCTGGGGAAACTGCAGATCCTAGCGAGCGCGGCGCTATTGGCCGGTCCTGGCACTCCAGGTGTCCGTGGGGCCCGATGGCAAATGTGGAGATTTTTCAGGACATGAGGTGGTCGTTGGACAGCCGTGCATAGACCGTCATGGGATAACTTTTGAACATGTGACCACGGCGGATACATCAAGAGCCTGTGAAGGCATAATAGAATCAGGGCTGTCCTTATAATGAGGTGGCTGCCTCGGGCGGCATCTTATTGGGTCACATGGGAGGGGCGGCAGGTGTGTCTGCTGCTTCCTTTCCGGCCAGAGGGTCCCAGGTTGCTGAGGGCTTGTTCACGATGGAAGTCGGATGAAGCGGCCACCCTAGGGGTCCCGCCGTATTCTCAGCAGCGCAGAGTTCACCGACCCACAACAAAGAAATAAATCCTTTATCCAGATTGGTCATTGTGGGTTTCCGGCACTCCGCGCGCGGTTTTGATTCTTCTCCGTCAGTGCCGGGTCCAGCGTCCCATCGCTCCGCCGTCCGTCCGGCGCTCACAATCCGCGTTATCTTTTTAGCCAGATGCGGCGGTTAAATAACCTGCTGTAATCGCGGATAATCTAGTAACCCCCCCCACCACAGGCTGTGCACTTCAGATGCTTCTGCCGGCTTTTGTTTGGATTACGCTTGCCGGAACCCATCACTCTGTACTAAACCGCCATTGTAGCGGCAGCTCGGCAAGGTTAACCCCTGATTTCCTGGGTCACGTGATTCCCTGGTGCGGCCGAGCATTCGTGGAAGATTCCAGTTCAATAGATCGATATTAGAGGTGCACCGAAATGGAAATTTGAAAACCGAAACAAACAAAAAAATTGTCAGGCCGAAACCGAAAATGTTTTTTTATTATTTTCATTTTTTTACATTTTTTTTTTTAATATTTATTTTTATTTTTTATTAAATATTATTATTTTTTACTTTACTTTTAGGGGCTTCGGGGAAAATATTGGGGGTCTAAACCTGATATTTCCCTTTTTAAAATAGCAAAAGAGATTGAGAACACAAAGTCCTCGGAGACACTGAGTCCTCAATCTCTTTTTCTGCAGCCCCTGCTATAAATGAACCGGAATCCTCTATACTGAGTGTTTCTGATCATTCATAACAGGAAGACAGAGTGTGTTTACTATAACCACAATCATGAATGGACAGGAAGTGATGTAGGAGGGGATGTAGATCACTTCCCATTCATTCATAATTGAGGATATATTAACCATACTGTAACTGTCCTCAATTATGTACAAACACTCAGCGATCACTGATCACATGACTCCTTGTACCCGCTCTCCTCTCTGACGCGCTGTCGCAGGAGGCTGTGAGAGAGCTGCGGGAGGAGAGCCCAGCCTCCTGTGACAGCACGGGCCGTCTCCGCTCACACACCGCTCTGCCGGACTGTGACAGGAGGCTGAGCGGTGCGGGGAGAAGAGACGTCGGCCGCTCACAGCGCTCTCCTCCCTGTACCGCTCGGCCGCCGGTGAACGTTTCTCTCCTCCCCGCTAGGACACAGAGCAGCGCCCAGCGGGGAAGAGGAGAAAGAACGGATGCGTTCCCAGTGAATTCTGCAATGTAATGCAGGAAATGGATGTAGTAACCATAATGCACTGCCTGGCTTTTGTAATAAGGTCAGGTGGTTTGGAAGGGCCAATAAGGGGGGTTTTAAATAATCCAGACTCTCACTTTAAAGGGGGGGTGGGGTCCCAGGAGCAGCAGCAGCAGCCGCCATATTGACAATGTGCTTAGCTGTGATAGGGAAAGCATAGGGAGTAGTGCAGATACAGTGCATAGGGAAAGATTAGTCTCAGGCTTGTAGGAACTGGAGGGTCTAAAAGAAAATAATATATATATATCTCCCTTACTTGTGTCATGTAGGTTGCTTAATGCTGGGTATCCGGGAGAATTTGGGGGTGGGGGAAGGAAAGTTTGTTTAGATTTCAGTGCTGCTGACGTCCTGCTTCCTCTTTGCAGCCGGCTCCATATGCACGACGCTGATAACAGGCTGCGTGTGTTTTTTCACAGGACAATATTTCCTAATTGTTGCTAACGGCAATTGTTTTTTCAGCACTGGATTTTTATTTTAGGGGACCTTCCTTGAAAATGAAAGGTCTGCTCTATTGAAGCAAC